TCTACAGTAGCCATTTAGCTCATGCAATACCGGTACCCATTCAGTGCACAGACTTGGTCTCACCTGGAGCGATCACCAAGACTTTTGTCTAGTGACTGTAGTATTGTAATGAAAATGTTCCATGACACTATTATAATATACAGCCCAACCCTGGAGTCAGAGAAAAGTATCTGTTATAGAATTTTAAAGGCAGTAAGAGGATTTATATATAGGAGATTTTTTTTTTTTTTTTGTTTAACTCATATATTCTTTGTTAAGGTACAAGAACCTGCATGGAGCGCTAGCTATGGCAAAAACAAAACCTTAATTCCAAACACATTCCCCCGCGCCCCAGGGACCAAAACAACCCCCCCAAGACCCTCTGGTATGGGCCTAACCGCACATCCTGCCCTATATAGGAACAATCGTCCTCCACAGGAAAGGCAGGAGAGGGAAGAAAACCCTTCAGCATCATCTCAACAAAGGAAAGAATAGATTAGGAAACCCCCAAGTGCCTCTACAGGTGTCCATGAACAAATATGTCCGCTGTCGGGCCCACAGTAGGACCCTGGCGAAATGCCATGACGGGGCCGGCCAGCTCAACCCAGGAGATAGTGCAATACCAAGGTAGGCCAACCGGTCATTCGGCCAGGGGCGGGCCACAAGCGTGGGGAGAGGAAGACAGGCGAGAGATGCCAGCAACCCGTGATAGAGGAGGGCAGCCGATACTGCCAAGGAGGGAGGAAGTAGACCCCAGCTGTGAGGGGTCTGGTTGTGGAAAGGGTTGGATGGTGCCTGTAGTGACGCCAGAGCCAGAAAAGAATTGCAGAGCTGCCACGAGGGTAGCAGAAGTGAGAGTAGCACCAAGTGATACTGGCACGGAGGGGAGGTGGGAGGGATAGGCCGAGCACTACCACCTCAGTGACGATGGGGCCTGAAGGCCAAGGCAGTAGGGTACCAGCCGATCCTGGCAGTAGGGTGCCAGCCAGTCCCGGAGGAGAGGAGAGGAAGAGGGCAAGGCAGCAAAGATCCGGCCAAACAATACGGTGGGAGGCTGCAACTAGGGTCACAGAAGTAGGCGAGGCTACTCCCGATCGCTCAGAGGACCACCATCCCAACTGACCATCCGGCCATCACCAAGCCACCGAAGCCGACTGTGTTGATGCTAAGCGAGGTGAAGCAAAAGCGGGGTAGAGAAGACAGAGACCTTATGATGAGGCTCCCAGGGTGAAGAGAGGACCCCCATCCAGCAGAGGCGGGATTCCAGAGGGGGGAAGGAGTAGAAGAGAGGCCCCGATGGGCAGAGGGATGGAAAGAAACAGCCTGCACCCCCCAGCAGGGGGGTGCAAGGCTATGGAAAAGTGGTGATGATTCCTCGGTGTTGAGTAATTCCCAATTAGGAAATATTGTTCAATGACCGGAGGTGTAGCGGAGACGGAGGATAATTTATATATAGGAGAGGTCTGTATATTTGTATATAATATTATAATAGTACTAGTACTATAATTATTATATAACTTTTATACTATTAAATAATAATTTAAATAAGATAAATAAGAAACAAAAATTCCTAGCTTTCAGATATCATTAGTAAACATAGAAGAGATCTTATCAATATATTCATTCTACTAGCCTTTTAACTTCTATCTTAATAAGCTGTTTTGACTTACTCTAAAAAAAAAAAAGACCTTTAGATCTAGTTTGACTAGAGTTTTAAGGTATTTAGCTAGTAATATGAATAAGGATTTTAGAAAAGACAATAAATAAAACAAAATTGTAACTAACTATAATTAGGATGTGATAAGATCTATATGTTCCTAGTAATACTTAAGTATAAATCATTCAAACTACTTTCTGTTATTATTAATTATTATATTAGTCTTTTATAAAATATAAAGAAAGCAAAATTGGTATAATTGTAATAATTATATATGGTTAAATAAAAAAATAGAAAATATTTAGGTTTAAAGAAATCTCAATAGATATTTATATAAAATAATTCAATATCATACTTAAGAAAACTATTTAAATTATATTAATATTAATTTTAGAAATACACTAGCCCTATGTTCACTTCTTGTTACTCACTGTTTGTCCTATTCTACTCTTATCCTCTTTTAACGATTTTTCTACTTTAACTTGAATTTTTAAACTTTACTTTATTCTATCTGTTTTCTTTCTACTTCACTACCTTCTTGAAATAATAAGCATACATTCCTGAATAATCTCTAATAGTAAAAGAATACCTACTGTTTCTTATATATAATTTGAGTGTGGTTTTATTAGAACCAGCATATGGGCATTTTTGGTTGTCACTGGGAAAACAAGTTTGAAGTATTACAACCAAAGAGAAATTTTCATATTTTTGTATGTAAAACATGTTACAGAGGTCATTGGAGCTTCTAGAATATTTTCTGAGCTATTAGGAGTATACTCTAAAGGTCTATCCAGGTAGCTATACCAAAATAAATTTTTGGGAGTTGAGTGCCCATATGCTGGTTCTAATAAAACCACACCCATTTTACATAGTTTAAAGTATTTATTTTGTCTGTTTTCTTATACTATCTATAATAGGTCTTTTTTTGACCTTTTTGATGATTCTATTTAGATTGTCTCTGTTTTTTTATTAATTTTAGTTACTGGCTACTTTCTATTACCCACTCTGCATTTATTCCCTTTTTTTTAAACAATTTGGCTCAGAATTGGTGGAGTTGTTGCTACTTTAGTAGTGTAGCTTAATTTGTATTACTTCCTAGTGATGTGTCACTTCAGGGTGAAATACGTTACTATCTAAGCATGTTGGTTCTGCTGTGCTATCCTCCCGGGCGGGCGAATTACCTAGCTTGTCTCTATCTATACATCTTCCAAACGTCGCACAAGTGTGTCCGCGCTGTGCGGTTGTATCCACGGTTTCTCACTCGGGTACAGTACTTAATTGGACCAATCACGCGAATATCGTACCACCCTTTATCCAGGGATCTTAGAAGGTTCCAAGTGCCGTATCGGTATCTCGAGTGTATAGTAAGTTACTGGGCCGGTGTGTGTGTAGGCGGTGGGTGGACGTAGGAGGTATCTATGTTCCCCACACACAAAGCACCCCGAAGCCGCTATTTGCCTTTCCCCTTACCTTAGAGAAAGCCCTGATCACCGTAAAGTATTACCGGTATCCGGTCCCCCATCACTTAGAGATCGGTACTCATGGACTCACAGAAACATGGGATACCAGTCATGCTGGCTACGCTTCGTCAGGTACCCCTCTTTACTAACATAAGACCTCTCTATCTCTTTTTTGCACGGATGAGTGGCCGCCATTGCACGTTCCGAATAATCAGGGACCCGGTGATCCAAGGTCCCTACAATCGGCCCAGAGACACACTTATCAAGGATCCGGGGCCGAGTGTCGAACCGATATACTAGGGGCCAGATGCCGGGTGACAAAAACGAGCCATTTCATCGAATAGGTCTATGGACTCGTGATGTTTAAGGAGGAGATGTCAGCGACTCAGAGTATGTATTTCGAGCCCCCGCAAAGAATCTGTAACCAAAGGAAATCTCATCCTTATATACAGACAGGTATTCTAACCTAGCAGAAGTAAACGATATACCCCTCTACTGGTTTATCCTAAAAGGAAATCATACATATTCAAAGGAAAGCTACCGGTAGTTGATAGAGAAAGACCTTATATTAACACGAGGTGCCTCCGATCCTATCAGGGGGCTCAAAAAAAAAGCAGACCCCTCCTCCCCCGGGCTCCCCCGGGTCGCACATAGCGCTTCCAACTCAGCCCTTTACCCGGTTACCCAGCTTCACGATCGACGGGCCAGACGACCCCCTCGTAGTATGTCGTAATATGCAGGTTTAGCGAATGTCTCACCTTCCTCAATTCAAGTATCAAAACGGTATTTCCTCCGCGCTTTTCAGGCCCTCGACAACTCACTTATTAACATTTGATTCAGTGAACTGGCTTTGCAGTTAGAATCCAGGCATATAAGCTCCCAATAGACCCCGGTGTGTCCCTATAGGTTTGTGCAGCCTCGAGTGCCTGTTCGCCCCAGATACTACAAGTACACTATGGATCTCGACGGAAGTATGGTCCTTCCTATGAAGATATGCGGTGACTCACAAGATTAACGATTGGTTTGATTTTAGAAAGCGCTACTATCACACAGAATGTGGTGGCTATGGATGCCTCCCCTCTAGGGCCATCTCAAGCGGGAACCGTCGAGAAAGCCCAGAAAATAAATGAACGAAGGTTATTGGCAAAGATAGACCTCCGATTGATACCTTTCATAACTATCTTATACATCCTTGCCTTTTTGGACCGGTTCGTGGAAGGGACACATCTGCCAACTACTAAGGCCAGAGCTGACCCTCCAAGAGTTCAGTGTGAATATCTCCAATGCCGTGATATTCGGTCTGGGGGAGGATCTCAATCTCGGAGGCCTCGAATACAACACCGCACTGACAATATTCTTCGTCCCATATATCCGTAAGCCTCGGATCAACAGCCCCTGAACACCAAAACTAATGAAGAATAGTCTTCGAGATACCTTCCAATCTCCTTATGAAGAAGCTCCGACCACACCTTTGGCGTAGTAAACAAATTCCCATGTCCGTAAACCCAAGCTAACGATACTCAGTTTCACTTTGCATGTTTCTGTTTGGCCTAGTAACGTGCCTCCAAGGGTTCGTGCAAAATTATAGCGGATTGTTGGCCACGCGTTTCTTCCTCGGAGCTTTTGAGGCTGGTACGTCTGGACTCCATGCTCTCCGGAATGAATTACCTACTGAATGATAAGGCATGGTTCCTGGCTGCTTCTACCTCATCGCAATGTGGTACAAACGAGAAGAGGCCCAGAAAAGATGCAGCTTTTTCTTTTCTGCCACTATACTTGCTGGGGCCTTCGGGGGTCTGCTGGCAAGCGCCATTGGAAAAATGGACGGTATGCAGGGGTTTAGAGGATGGAGGTGGATTTTTATATTGGGTAGGCATACGTGATTTTTGATACCTTGAACTTCCCCCCACTAACAATGAAACTGCTGTTCCAGAGGGGGCGCTCACGTGCGCAATTTCTTTCTTCTGCTACTTTCTCATCACAGATTTCCCGGAGGAAGCGCTATTCTTGACAGAAGACGAGAGGGAATTCGTCAGGGCAAGGCTTCTAGCAGATGTTGGTGACTCGGGAAGGGAAACACATATAGGGATTCGAGATATTCTTGATGTCTTCAAGGATTGTGGGTTCACCCCTGTCGAACAAGCAGTGTCGAAACCGAACATCCATGGCTAACTTTTTTGAAAAGACAAAATATTTGTGGGAGGTTTGATGTACATTGGCCTAGTTGTGCCCGGATACGGTCAGCCCACCTGTAGCTCTCAACAGCGGAACCCGAGAACTAATCTGCTGGTAGGATATGCATACTTTGCTCCCACAATCCTCAAAGACCTAGGATATTCTGGTATGCCCACGGATCACTGCTCCTTTCCTGGCCGCCTTCTCACATGGGATAGCTATCCAAACGCAACTCCGCTCCGTGCCTCCCTGGATTTGCGCCTTCGCCTTCGCCATGACAATTGCCGCAGTCTCCGATCACCTGAAGCACCGCTTCGCCTTCGCTGTTCTTCCGATATTTCTAGCCATCAGTGGTTTCTCAATCCTACTCACAGTGCATGATAACGTAAAAGTACAGTATACTGCTCTATTTCTCGTTGCGATGGGTTGCTACAGCGCCGTGCCGGTCGTCGCCTGTTGGTTCAACTTGAATCGTAAGTTCCACCACCCACCTACCAAATACAGATGACTTATCGAGAATCTCCAGTCGGAGGGCACCGAAGGCGAGCAGTAGGCAGCGCCTGGCAGGTAGGCTTTGGAAACCTTGGAGGAATCATCTCTACGTATTCATTTATCACTAAGGATGCTCCGAGATACACCAAAGGATATGCAATATCTCTCGGATTTATCTGTCTAGCGGGTGTATCATGTGTAGCCTACTACACCGCCATAACGATGGAGAACAAGAAGCGAAAGCATGGTCGGAGCAAATATCTCAATGCTACGGAGATGGAGAAAAATGAGCTTGGAGACCTTCACCCTCACTACAGATACCTGCGTTGAGGCTAGAGCTCTTTTTTATTTACGCGGGATGTCACCCCTTCATTTGGGTGTGGGTAATGCCAGATCCCTATTCATTTACAAGAATGTATGGTATCATGGGAGGATTTTCGAACGATTTCTGGTTGGTCCCCGGTAGTTTGGGTTTCGTGGTGAATTTTTTTGGAGACCATCATGGGCCCCAATATCACACAACTCAATACCCACCAATTCACACCAGATGACCGGCTTGACTCTCGTATCAACCCAAGCCAGCCACGCACGAAACCCTCATGCAATCACATCCCCCAGCGCCCTCCTACAGAAACCACCCGAGTGAGAACCTATGACACCCAAACGTCAAGAAATTCGGTCCAAACCCACCGCATCTCAACCATGCACCCAACAGGCGGGAGATCAACCTATCACAATACTATACCCACGCCTTAAATTTAGATGGGCGACCCAACATCTACAAGACCTACAGATGACCGGGAGGGCATTTTAAGCTCAACAACGCAGGGACCGCTAAAAAAGTGCACCTAGATCCCGTGAGAGCATCATACAGTACTCAAGTATAGTAAATACCCACAACGCCCCCGGGTAAGACTGGCAGCCCGCCCCGGGGGCGTTCGGGATATGATGAGTTGAGTCACAGATTAAGTTAGGCTGGTCCTGAAGCGGGGGCTAACAACGGTGCGATCACAACAGGTCGGATCGTATGATACACCCTACCCTTCGCATCCGGCCATCCCTTACCTTGCAATCATGGCCTGCGCTAGAAACTAGCACTAACCGAAAGAAGCTTTCGGAAAAAGTGGACTACACAACCTCCACCCACTTTACAAGCGATGGCAACGGGATGGTGATTATCGTAATCACTCGGCTATGCCTTCAATTCAGGTTTGAAAAATTGGTAAGATGCTTTTCTGACTTCAAATTTCAATGATTTCAAGTCACTAGTGTTAACAGAGTTTCAGTCTTGCCGCACTGCTCCTGCGCCGTCCTGCTCCTGCGCCGTCCTACTCCTGCGCCATCCTGATCCTTACCGAGCTGAGGAGCTAACCCCCGAGAGAGCAGAGAGCAGCGAATAAAATCTCCTGTAAGTTAGCAATACTGATTGTTCTATTTATAGGTTCCACTTAGCTGACCTATATTAGATTCTTGAAATACTCGCACTACAAGTACTACTCAACTCCACCACTTAAGATTGGCAAAAGGTCATCGCCCCTCAGTGTTCAACCCAGCTGAGTAGATGAGAGTGAGCACTTGGAGGAGGAATATGAGTATCAAGGAAGCTGCAGAGAGGAGACATATCTTCTTTCGGTTGATGAAAGTGAGAATGAGGAAGAGGAGTTAGACTTAGAGGAGAACTTGGAGAGTAGAACACATGAGGACCAAAATAATATACCACAAGTACCCGAGTTTGAATACTTCGAGCATGAGCAGCCCCGACACAATTGTCTACTCCACCTTCCATCAACTTTTGGTTATTCAGCCAATGATCCCTCTACTTGCCCTACCCCCTTAGCTTTCTTCAAGCTATTCTTCACTGAACCAGTCTTCAAAATACTTGCAAGAAATACAAATTTGTATGCAAGTTGGAAACAGAGTGATAGGGAGACTGTGACTGGAAGAGCATGGTTTTGGAAGGACACCTCCGCTGCTGAGCTTAAAGTGTTTTTTGCAATAATTATTTACATGGGCTTATTTAAGTCAGCTTGTGTTCAAGATTGTTGGCGTAAAGATGGATGGGCCCCTATCCATACAATAACCAGATATATGAGAAAGACTCGGTTTGAAGATTTGAAGAGATGGTTTCATGTTTCCACTCCTATTTCAACTTCATACTCCAATACTCCGATATCTCGTGGGCAATGGTTTTGTAGCAAGCTAGATCCTCTTACCTCTATGCTGCAGAATTCCTGGCAGAGACACTGTACTATAGCTACTGAAGTTTCTGTGGATGAAATGATGATTCGGTTCACTGGAAGGTATAGTGTACTATTTATTTAATTTAGATTTCTTGTACTAAGTTGAATTCAGGTCTGTCGATACTGTCATGATGCCTAATAAGCCAATCCCCAAAGGCTACAAGATCTTAGCTCTTGCTGAGCACGGTTACACTTACGTATTTTTTTACACCTTACAAGTTGAAGGATTCCTAGGCATGGATAGGCCAGTTCCTACACAGTTTAACCTTAATCCCACCTCTCAAGTTGTGTTTGGCTTATGTGCTCAACTGCAACCTCTCATCCGGCGCTTTGTTTTGTATTGTGATAACTACTTCTCTAATGTGCCTTTGTTTGAAGCCTTATGGGAGTTCAAAATTGCTACATGTAAAACAGTAAGGCCTAACTCAGCCTTATATCCCAAATGTCTGAAAATCAAGAAGAAGCGAGCTGCATTGCCATGGGGTACTCTTGCTAGTATAACAGTGGGAAAGGTTCTTGCTGTAATCTGGCAAGACAAAACTGTTACACATAATAGCGTAATCGGTGCGGCACGTGACTAAATGCATAAGGTCACGTGTTCGACTCCGGGCCCCGCCGTAGTTATCGTGACGATATCATATGATCGCACAGAACGATAAGGCATCTATGCAGCCCGCTCCGCGGAGATACGAGGCATGCGACCGAGGGGTTTTCACTGGATAACATAGAAGGAGCTCCGCTCTACAAGATAAGACTTAGTTGGTTCAGATTGGTCGGTTAGTTATGGAGCTACGACCTCTGCTAAAAGTCTACATGCAATTACGAGAAGTAATATGCATGCCCCTACAGCTCGCGTAAGCTAGAGTCATCCGGAAGACCTAGTTACGATTGGTTAATAACAACTCACTGGTCGAGTTAGTTATCTTCGTCATGCACTCTAA